TCAGCACTTTGGGAGGCTGAGGAAGTTAGGAGCTTTCTTAGAATCTGCATTCGGAATAGAAGAGTCAGGACTCGAACCAAGGTCTTCTGGCATCTAAGTCTGGCTCCCCGTGGGGAAAGCATGGTAGCCCACCTTAAGACACCTGGGCCCTAAAATGTGGACCAGCCCTACCAACAACGCCCTATATGACCCCAGGAATGTCCCGGACTCCGGTACCCTCGGGTTAGAGGTGGTAAGTAGAGCATAACTTGAGGTCAGGAGTTCAAAACCAGCCTGGCCAACAGGGTGAAACCCCGCCTGTACTAAAAATACAAAATTTAGCTGGGCATGGGGTAGGCGCCTATAATCCCAGCTACACGAGAGGTTGAGGCAGGAAAATCGCTTGAGCCGAGGCGGCAGACATTGCAGTGAGCCAAAATCGCCCAAACTAGGTAAAAGTGCAAGACTCCATCTTAAAAAGTTTGTCTGATTGTCTTATGGGTAGAAGTGAAAAACATCAACATACTACCATACTGCAATGAGTAGCCATGTTTTAAAACCCCAAAGGGTTCCGGGGAAGTTGCTTTTGATAGCAACTTCAGGCTGACGAAGTACTGTCTTCAGAAACACTAAGAAAATTCTAGATTTCACCACTGATTAAAATAAACCTAGTTCCGTCAGCTAATTCAACAGGTATACCAACTAAACTCAGCCTATCGTGATTACCAGCTTTAAACTTCCATGGCCTGTTCTTGTGTCAGAAACAGCAGGCAAGAGGCCTTTTAAAAATTAAGGATACCAAAAACCTTTCAATTTTCCCAAATGGGAGATTCCCACTCCCCAATCCCCACATTTTCAGGAAGCTAAAAGCTGTATTCTTCCAGTGCTTCTAGTAGTTCTGCATTCTTCCAAATCCCTGGAAGACTAAGGGCAACATACAGCACTTGAAACAGTGCCTGGCTACTCTCAGATGCTACATAGATGTTATTCACTGTTTCTCAGTATTTATGTAGTCTAACCCCCAGAGAGAACTAAGATTATCTAAGTCTTAAAACTGCTGTATCAATAAAGCTCGTTTTCCACACATGTAAGGCAGGGCTTCAAAGCTCAAACATGTTAAGTCTAACGTTCATGTGGATCTAAGACCTTATGCATTTTGCACTATTGTTTTCCCCAACCATATACTATCCCATACTTACCTCAGGACAAAAAGTAGCATGTCAGGCCGGGCACGGTGGCTCAAGCCTGTAATCCCAGCACTTTGGGAGGCCGAGGCGGGTGGATCACAAGGTCAAGAGATCGAGACCATCCTGGTCAACATGGTGAAACCCCGT